TTCTGAAGATCTTCATTTGCTGTGAGTTGCTCTTAGACCTTTAAATCTTGAAAGAGCTACTTGAAAATATTTGTCTTGTTACCAGTTCCGAGCGTTCAAATGATAAAATCACCAAAGTTCAACACGGTACACCCATGGAACTTTACCACTCAAATAGAAGCGGCGTAACTGTTGGAACCGTAGGCTACACTATGTCCAGTATGGTCCAGAATTCTCACCTTTACAGGTTGGAGGTAGAGTTATGACCACTTTGCACTTCATGCAAATGCAGATGCAAAGCATTTTACATTTTAACCTTTGACAGTGACATCTGCCTGGTTGACATATTCAATTTTTGTGAATTCGCATTATGATACCTACATGGACAGTACCTTGAATAACTGATACTCATGTTTGTCTTTGCACCAAGTATATAGCGAGTACCAACATGTACCTAGTATTTGCCTACAGGAAAGATGATTGAAGAGTTTTTACAATGCATTATAAGTTACAAATGACCAATCAGACTATGTTTTTGACTCACATGAGCCCAGCAAGCGGCTGCATGAATAGGCTGCCAACCGTCATTATCTTTGACGTTCACGTCAACACTGCTGTCCAGCAAGAACTTGGCCACTTTGTCATAGCCGTTAGCTGCTGCAATATGAAGCTAAAAGTATTGGTAAAAGAAAGAAAGAGAGGGCAGGATCACTAGAGGCAGTGCATTCACACTGTCTGGCTGCACTGACGGAAAAATGAAGACGTTCTGGTGAAATTACATGTACATCATGTAGCTTTCATGACACAAACAACTGCACTGCAAACAACAAGACAACTACACCATTTATATACATGCATGCGGCAACTACTGTTAAACAAAATACATAATCTACATGTACATGTACTAGGAGACCAACTGGTAGGCCAATCATGTCTGGAAGTTTTTTTTTCTATAAATGCTCCATTTTGACTGCATAATTTTAACCCTAACAGTCCTAAATCCCCCAAGTTAAGTATGATTTACACACACCCTGGGGGTTAAACTCAAGGATACTAAAGAATGTTTTATTTGACACAAATAAAAAAAGCAGACTCCCAAAGAACATACTGAAGAGTTAACAATGTATTGTATGTGCTACCATGTGTTAATCCAAGTCCCTTAAATTGTTTTTAATGAACAACCTGTTGAACCTACCCGAATCCAAAAAACATGAGAAACTTGCTGTTTTTATGTTTTAGACAGAATCAAGTTAACCAAAGCTCTCTTGCTTCCCGGTGAGACCAAAGAACAACAGACCTTTAAAGTAAATGCCAACAGTCGGGCATCACTAAGTTGGAAAGATTTAAGGTGAGTAAAAGAAACCATCTTCCTTACATATGAAGCACCAATTTCATCCCTGCATTCAAGATTGCCACCCTCACTCTTCAATTCACCAAGTTCAAGGAGCATGCGGTTGGGTGCAACCTCTCTCAGTTCATCTATCTGCTCTTGTGTGATACCTGTATGGAAGATGAAACAGTAGACAGGAAACCAGACAAGCAAAAATTACACATAATTTTAGAAATAATCAGACACTTTCAAAATGATGTAACTAACCACTTTGTAATGAAAAGGCATGGTAGTAATAAAAGTAATTTAAACTTATGCTTGAACTAAATGTACATGTATTAAACAATTGAGAGTATCTTCATTGACGGCAAAAGCTTAATTTCTGAACAATGACAGGGGGATTTTCTGATTAAATTCAATAATTTCTCAACACCGAACTAGTAAACATACATGTATGTTGAATTCTAATGACCATGAACTGCAACACCAAGGTGAAGGAATTGTTCTGCAAATTATAGACATCCTTTTACACTATCTCTCAAATCCTAGACTTCCCTTCCCAAAGAAACTCTGATCTTATAATCTTGGATTTTTGCCATGCCTTCATGTAAATGTCCTGCGTCTTTAGTGACACATCCAATCGTTTGTTAACCTTTCTATTCCTGACACCATTTTGCACGGCTCAAAAGTTTCACCCCAGTAAAATCTTGTTTGTGCATGAAATGTGAAAAGGCAATACACAAGTTGTTGCCGAAGTTTCAAAGTTCAAGTAAGGTTAACCGCATGCGACAAACACATGGTGGAACGTGGACCAACTTTCGCCGTTAATATTCAAATCTACACATTTGTTTAATCCACTGATTGATAACGAAAATATAGGGAAACATTTTTCTCCCACATATCTGGCATTAATAAGAATTTTCATTAAATAAAAACAACCTGTAAATTTAGAGTTGTGCAAAGTGCCTCTTGTCTTTGAGAAAACAAACTGATTTTAAATAACACGAAAATGTCTCAACTTCACCATATTCAAGAATATTCATGTGCAGATCACATGAAGACGTTACGTGTATGTTAAAAACCATTCTCACATTCAGTTTGCATTTCCCATTGATTAGGTTGCACCCAGTAATCAAAAATACGGCCAAGAAGTCTTAGCTAGCCAGGGCAATTATTTTCCAGTCGGATCAGGAACCTCTGTATGGCATTTATCCCTCCTCCCAACTGCACAGGAAAATTGCTTTCCAAATATGCATGGCTGCATGTACTGTAGATACAGATGGAAATTAGGGCAGCAAGGATACTTCTTAAATAGACAGGTTTTAATTCAATTTTAGCAATGCACCTTTCCATCCTATCTGCCGGTACACATATTTTCAATTTTGAATCTCTGTATTGCGCATTAACTGGAGTTCATCAAGTCCAAAATCCAGACTAAGCAAACATTCGTCCTGGAAGTCACAATGGATGAACAAAACTGAACAAACATTCTGGCAAATGAACAGTACTTGAAAGTTTTCAAACATGGAGACATGTTCTATTTGCCATCCACTCCACTTTAATCCCTGAATTTGTCGAAGGAGGAATAACATGGGTATTTATCAGAGGGCACATATGATGTCTATGAACAGTTTTCCAGACACTGTGTCCCAAAAAATTCTGCGACGCAAGAAAGTACTTTCTTTCACACTCTGGCAGGAAATGTTGTTGCCACTGAGGTCCGTGAAGGAAGACAGTGTCTACATTTCAGACTAAATGAAGATGATCAGGAGAGGGCAAAAAAGAAGGGGAAACAAGCCTGACAATACGTGAGATGAAGACTGGACGAATATAGGCCACTCCCGAGAGATCTACACGAATGATATTGATCGAGGAAAATTGATCAAAAGCTGCAACAGGGAGACATCGACGCTACGCCTTTAATAACTTTAAGATGTTACAAGCTTCTCTAAAAATATCTATAGCCTTGGTTCACGGCTGGAGCAACCTCCCCCCCCATAAAAAACGGGCTGCACGTTACATTTTTCTGACGTCTTGTGAAAGAACAAAATCTATAGAATGCTCGGTGTACACATGAACACACGTAATGGGTACATGCATTGGAGGAGGTTGAAAAATTGGGAAAATGAGTGCTTCATGTAAACGAGAACATGATATCATTCAGGACTTAGGTCAGTTACATGTACATGTGTATCAGTGGAAGCGTACACTGTGCGTGTACATCATCAAGAACAATAAGGGATGATGACTGGGTAAATATTTGTTTTGATTGTCAGTCAAAGGAAGAGAAGTTACCGAGGAAATATTTGAAACTGGCCACCTCTGGAATGCCACATCTGTGCCCCACCAACTGAACAACTTTTATCCAGCACTGCTATGAGGCTACATGTACCAACATCCTACTTTGTTGTTCGTTTGGGATACAAAGACAGCATGAAATCCATTGACATGACATCTCTCTTCTCACAGAAGGGCCGAGTAGAGAGCTGAGCTCTAGTATGCAACATTTGATTGACATTAATCTTTCAAAAATCAGTGTGAATAAGCTGCATAGTTTTCAATTCATGATATTTTCAAGTATGGATATACATACATGTACATGTACCATACAGACACCTGTTCATAACTGTTTAAAATTAGAACAGGACTGAAATTGGGAAATGAAGACAAATCTCTGACACGTTTAGTGGAAGAGCTACAGGGGTACATCATTACACATACAGTACAACTTGCTATTACTACATGTAAACATTCTTGAGTCAGAATTCCTCAAATCTAGAAAAATCCTGAGAAATTATGAGGTAAAAATAAGAAAAAGAGAGACGGATTCAGGTCCAGCATGCTAATACATGTACATGTACTTAATGGAAAGCTTCTAAATCTTGTACAATCTCAACACCCTTTAAGAAATGCAAGGAGGGTCAAAGATACAGGGATACAGATCCGCGTCGCTTCGTCCAAGAAATCAATCACATTGGAAAGTCTGGCAGCAGCAGCCGTGGCAGCGGACTCTGCGCAACACTGCCAGAAGGCAGTCAAATTTAATCATCAGAATTGATCATTTATGGCCATTTTGGAATATGGTTTCCCCGGCTCGCTACATGTATCTCCCTCAGCCCTTCCCTCTCCCCCCCCCAAGGAAGGAAGGAGGATTGGACTGGCAACTACAGTACCTTCAAGCTCCACTGAAGTATGTCTACTGTGAGTACAGGCAGGGATGGCTCTCTAACACAATTCTTCTCTGAAGGTCACTAAATTTAGAGGATTTAGTCTTCCCCTTGAAGTTCTTTCCCTTGGTGTTACTATGACTTTTTTCCATCCAAATACAACATGTACATTAACCTTTGTTACTTCAGCTAAAATCCATCAAAATCAAACACAAAGATTTCCAGGATTTTGATGATTTCAGGACTGCACAGCCCATGAACTACATGTATTACTTGTAAACCAAAAGGTTTGGTGTCCAAATTATCGTGGGTGTCATTTCTGTACATTTAATTACTGAGTTTCATATAAATGTAGGCAGGCAACAAGTTTACAGGTGGGGCAGTTCTGTGACCTGCACTTACATGTACATGTACATGTATATTTGTGTCAATGGATGTGGCTCCAGTCATTAGGCTATGGCTTTCACTGGCCAATATTATGCAAAGCCTTAACTAATACTTTTTAAACACAGCCTCATGGCCGCTTACATTAGATGTACGTATGTACATGTACATGTACTAGATAGAGGGGTTAGGTTTAAGGTGAACAATGCCTTGGTATAGTGTACTTCAACAATCAGACTAAAAAGCCGCGGTGACACAACCCCCATGGACAGGAACAGGCACAAATTAATAAGTGTTTTCTTGTTGGCTTTTCTGTTTGATATTTTTAAGTGAATTTGTAAATCTATTTTGATCTTCTCAGACTGTAAAACTTTCTTGTTTTAATGAAGTACGTTTTTGCGCACCATTTCAATTGTCAAATTTCAAGTGTAACAAATTTAGTCTGATGACCGCGATGATCTTTAGAATAAAATTCAAAATCAAAAGGGTATTGTGATTTACGAATTGCACGCACCCGTCAAGCTGAAGAATGTACGTGTGGGTGCAGTGCCACCCCAGTTATGGTGTCTAATTGAATCAGTATATGCAAATTATACAAATATGTACAGGAACAGTGCCATCCAATTTTGGTGCAAATTCTATTTCATTTTTGACAGGCATTTGTTAACACCTTTATTGAGATAAATGGGGGTCAAGTCCTACATGAATTTGAAAGTACCCGTACGTGTACAACCACAATCTGTATTTTTAGAAAGCCGTCAGTGAACTTGACAGCCATTCCGGGTTGCCTGATCAGGTATCCTCATGGGTAAGCTTATTCAGGCATGTGAGTCCTAAAGATAAATCCCCGGCCTGACTCAATTGGTCTAAAACACTTCTTAGGTTAGAGATGATTTCTTCCAGCTGAAATTCTTCCTGTTAAAACCACCAGCAAAGATTACTGAAACGCTAGCATGACTTCTAGAATCCATATCATGAGAACAAAACCAAACCAAAGAACTTAAAAATTCAAAACCAAATATTCTTGCAATCTATTCTGTAACAACTCTTTCACAGAATTTGGTTTCTAGGCAACAAAGATTCCTTGGTCACACTGCTGAATTTTGCACTTTAAGGTCGTTTTCTCTTTACACCAAAGTAAACATTTGGTGTGAATAGGAGTCTACTCATCTCACTGTTGCCATGGAGACCATTTCACAACTCGGGTGTGAAAAAAGTAAAAGGCACTTCGGTGGGGGACCCCCTTGGGGAAATCGTGCAAGCGTAACGTATCCGACGGTGTAAGGTGGTACCGGTACTTTTCATCTATCTATCTGGAGGGGTGGAATTGCTTAGTAAACATGCCTATGTTACCAATATCCACCCACCTCTTTCTGCCATTTGAGACTCGATGTAGTCAAGCGTGACCTCATCCTCACAAATGTCATAGGGCATGTTGCCATCAGAGTTTATGGCCAAGAGTTCCGCTCCACTGCACAATAAAAAAACCAATAATTAAAGTAACAATCAATATACATCTATCATAAGAAATGCATTTCATTTGTGCACACCCATGTAGCTGGTGGCTAAATGGATACATGTTTTGATACCACTTCCTGTACGTGTACACACTGCAAAAGATGAACATGTACAAACAATGTACACAAGGACTAAGAAATAAAGGTATAACTTACAACTACACATACATACATTGCACTGTACAAAGAAATTCCCCCTTCTGTACATACTTTTATGAGAACACGAAAATATGGACAATCTCGGGAGGATTACTCTGGGCATGAACCTGAGTGGACTCACAGAGGTTACAAGTACATACAAGCCCCTGGCTGTTGCTTGAAAACTACCAGTATGCTGTACATTTGTACAACGTCATATCAAAGATGCAGAAGAAACAGTGATTGGAGACAAAAACAGCCATTTTACTAGCCACTTCATGAGCAAGCTAGCTCCATGTACATGTAGTAACCCTTAATATATCCTGGATTTCCAAAAATGCAAGAATAAATGTTTTTAGCCAGCATACACCAGAGTAAACACAGATTCCAATAAATCTATCGGTACATGTACCTGCAAGCACATAAATATCATTGGTACATCCCTAATTGGTACAGAAACAAGTAGAATGTGATTGTTTATAATTCTCTACAAGAAAGAAAACTTTCATAAGGCAGAATGATATACATGCGGAGTGAATCTTCGTCAGCTAAAAATAATATTTGTTTTTCATTCAAGTGTGCAATATCTGAACGCTCAAATTCCAGGGAACAAACCCTCATGTACCATACCATGAAGCAGCTGCCAGGATGTAAAGAATGTGTGAAATACGACCAGAAAAAAGGCCTTTTTTCTGAAACAAAGGCAAACCAGCCTGTCAATATTAATCACTGCCTAATTTGCTGGGTTATAAAACCATGTTTAAACTGAGGAAATGGCCACTGGTTCGTTAAGTAAACCCATGAATAATGATGCCAAAAAGGATCGGGATCCTCCAACCACAAAAACCTCACAAAGCTAACAAAAACAAAATAACCTAGAATCAATCGTTGAGTTACCTTGTACGTCAAAACTCCCTAGGAATACTGGAATGAACCAAGTCTTCAATACCCTTAAAACAGAACACAGAGTCCCAGCTGCTCATGTGCAAGTTTGCAGGAAGTCAGCAATTTGATACGCTCACTGTCGGTTATTTAATCTCACATGCAAGGAAATCAGCAGTGACAAATAAGGAGGCCGCTTTCTTTTTTTACAACATGGATCTAAAATTAACAGAGAAACCCAGACTATGGCAAAAACTGAGGTCTTTTTATGTACCAGGTACAGGAATTCCTGTTGATTATCTGCTGAGGCAATTTATCTGCATGCAGAGAATACCGTATACCAAGACTGACAAACCAAAGCACGGCTAACATACAAGTCTTTGCAAGGGTGACTACATAGAAATACGTACTGTGTAATGAGGAAACGAGCCAGATTCACATGTCCACAGGTAGAGGATGCATGCAAGGGTGTCCAAAGTTCTCGGTCCGTCACATTCACGTCGGCATTATGTTCCACGAGCAGCTTCATAATAGCTTCATTGTTATCGATACAGCACTGTTGTTGAATAGACAGAGGAAACAGAGGTATATGTTTAATGCTATCTGTCCACAAACATAACGGTATTTTTAGTTTCTTTTGTAAGCATTACCTGTAAGTATTCAAGCCCATATATATCAACAAACAAGCCTAATTTAAGACTGGCCATTATTCCAAAGGAAAATACAAATGAGCAAAGCAAGAACAAAAGATAAAAAGTATTTTTATGATATCTTGTAAAATTAAACAAATAAAATTTGTGATGACAAGTTTTGAGCTGATAATGATTACTGTTGTCTGGCTTCACCACATTTGTCCTTTCTGATCATCCCCAGTTTAAGCCAACTGTACTAGACAGAAATCGATTTGAAACATGTGCCCATCTCTCTCTGCACCTCGGCACATTAACCACTATTAGAATCTCAATCGTTTACAGTAGTCACAGACCTTCCCACAGCCTAGCCCCCCCTTGACAAGACCTCCAAAGTGCATTTGGGCATTAACGTGAGCAGGAGACTGATCATGCTACTCTTACTCAAGACGTCTGACTGCCAGTTTGGTCAAATGAATGAGGCGAGCGTTGACGCACAATATTAAATCAACACCAACGTGGCAGGTTTCAGGCAACTACTAGTATTTGGTAAATCTGTCATACTCAGGTTGTGCTTATAAACATAATGAAATAAACAAAGCCTCTTGGGGAACAGATTTCAATAATGGAGGGATTATAAATCAATTGTCAAATTGTAAGGTAAATGAATGCTTTGTTTGTTCATGTCAGAAAGTGAGTAATTTGTCATGTAATGTACATGTACCTGTATTTCATGTTCTATAAAAAGGACATTATTTGTTTAATCAAAAAGAAATAGGCGAATACCAAATTTTGTATCAACAAAATCTATATTTTTTGCATGATACCACAAAATATCACTGCCTTCCCAACTAATTCCATACATGTACAATGTATACCTTTTGTGAAAACTTACTAAAACTTGCGCTATCTACATACATTGTAAAAACACAAGCAAACTTAAATCCTTGCTGATCAACGAATTTATACATGCACCATGGTACCGGTGGTAGTCATATGTTTTTGGAGAGTAATGACTATAGTGTGAGATGTGCTTACACGTGCAGAACTGGTCATGAGACTGACATGAACATTGATCAGAACTTATTTGAAGATAAATGCCTCGAACTTATAATGTCCTTAGAAACAGAAAAACGCTGTGACAAACATCAAAGAGATATATACTACTCAAAAAAGTTAAGGACCACTTTTTTCTTAGCTTGTAATTTTTTTTCCAAGCAATGAGTGGGGTCTAGTTTGTTTGTCTAGATGGTGTTCTCATTATAAAAACTAAAAAAAATGTTTCAAATCATTAAATGCACATTTTCAGCAGTAAAATATCTCAGATAAAAAGTATACACCAATATAAAAAGTGATCATTAACTTTTTTGAGGAGTGTATATGCTTTGTTTCTCCATGTTACTAAGAAGCCATGTTGATTGTTTCCCTCATGATTACCAGTGCCTTCGTCACAGGTATGCATGGATACATATATGCAATGTGTGGTGAGAAAATGAACAATCTTGGGTTACGTGAAATGTCTCAGCTGGGTCAAGAGGTCATATAATGATTAGAGTTGCCAAATTACCAGTATTTCAAATTGACATACAATGTACTTCACACACATTTCTAGCCTTTCTACAGAACTTGCTTGACTTGGGTCAAATTATCATTCCAAAATTTTTCCAAACTTTTTACAACAGTGGGCACCGCAAGCTTTCCATTGCACTATCAGACTAAGGGTGCCATGTTTTTGCACTGCATTGTGGGATGCTTCCCCAAGTAATAATAACTGGCTCAGCGGGTTGGTTACTTGGGCTAGGCTTGAGTAAGCACAAGATGACTACCTGAGTGTTAAATTGAACACAGTTGTGTTTGAATAAGTACCAGTACATGTACCTGTAAGTGTGGCTTGACTCGGCGCATGAATTAAAGAGGGCACTTTGTTACCTACTGTACATGTAGTGACGACATCTCTATGGGCTAACACCACTCATGTGCACTTCCTCGTTTAGGTTATGCTATTCTTTACTCAGTGTATGCGGAACATTGTACATGTCGTATGTACTTCAAGAGGCAGGTTGAAAACCGTGAATAGGCTGTTCCAAGTCCCTCCATTATTCTTATTCCGAATACTGTAGCTATGGAGGTGGGGAACCAGATGGTCAGTTCAGCCTTTCTCTTGTTCACCTGTGAGGACATGCTTGTGCACACAGCCCAAGACCACTGTTCAATGACCACTCTGACCCTAAGACATCTCACCTGGTGTAACGCTGTTAGTCCATCTTCATTACCAATGTTGGGATCAACTCCTGACTCAAGTAGCATCCGCACTGCATTAATGAGATGAAGAAAAAAAAGCAGGAAGGATTACTGGTTAGCTGAGAAGATACATTGTAATATCAGGTTAATTGTATTGGGAATAAATCAAGCAAAAACAAGCTTTTATAGGCTGTTAGAGGATTGCGTCTATTGGCTGCTAACGGCTACACATGTACACTACAGGTACCATGCCCACCCAGGGGGTTAAATGTACAGTCATAGATCTAGCAGACATCCTTTCCTGATCATTTTCCCACTATGTCTGAACAAAAGTGGATGAAACTGACTGCACATGAAAAGTCATTGGACCTTGACAAATGGCTGACCAGAAACTTTTTCAATCTTTTGTTGCTACCGGTATAAATGTAGATGCAGTTTGTGTCTTATTTCCCCCTCTGCAAGTCCATGGACACATTCCCTCTCTGCAAGTCCAAAGACACATGCATGTTTTGTTCCATCACAATTGCCCTGGTCGGGAGGGCACTGTGGGAAACGCAACATCAGAAAACTTCACACAGAATTACAGTCTTTATGTACATGTCTAGAGAACCCCTTTGGTCTCCAGTTTCGACACACTGTACATTTTAACTTCCTGTATTAAACAAAAAGTTAAGGTTCCTGCAACTCAAGACCAAATGTACATGTACAGTATGTGTAGTCATATGGGTACATGCATTACAACCTGTTCTGAGTACATGCATATTCTTCCTCAAATATCCTACTGAACCAAATGCACTCGAGAGCAAAATATATGAACACGCACATTATAACACAAACATCATCATAATTGTTCTGCAGTTGTGGGAACAAAAAACATGATGAAACATACATAAGCCTACCGTGGTAACTCAAAACTCTCCTGCGGAAAAAAATAATTGTCCCTTCCATGTGGTAAGGGTCTTGGCATACTGCTGACCCAGGTGTGCACAGCCAATAAAACGCACCAGTTGGTAGGGGCTCTTTTTCACGTTCTCATTAAAAAATCAAATAAATAGATCATTTGTCCATTTCCTAAAGAATGAAGTTTCCTTAAATTTGCTACTTATTCCAAATCTCTTGGTATTGTGCCTAAACCCTCCAAAATACAAATGATAAAAAGAGTTCATTTCAGTGTGCCAACAGGGCATTCTATAAATATCCTACAATACCGGAACAATACAGAGCCTACATGTACCTGTATGCCTTCAGTAATGAATTCTTCAAAAAGTCTCTAATACCCCAAGTCGGATTGGGGTAGATTTCTAATACCCCAAGTCGGATTGGGGTAGATTTCAGGTAGGGAGTTTCCAAGCACAGGACATGCATAATGCATGCATCTCCGGTCTTTCTGTGTGCCATATAGAAAATCCCTACCCGGGCCTCAATGTAATCTTTTAAGGTTTGGGTTTGGTTGCCATTCATCATCACAACTCAGTCATTATTTTGTACCCCCCCTCCACCATCTTCTGCCTAGCCTGTGGGACCAAGGAGGTAAATGAAACAGAGCTCCATGATAGGACAGTACCTGTATGACATGACACATCTAATCTCAGCACCCGTATTTTACAGTCAAAATGGCTATTTGTGACAATTTGAGATTGAAACATGAGCCTGGCCCGGGACAACGAAGGCACCTGAACCTGATTTAATCACATGTTCACAGCAAATCTTTTGTTGTAATGACGGCACCATACTTCCATGCATATTTTGTGTCGTCCAATTTCCACAGCTCAAGAAGTGAAAGCCAAACACTATATCAATACTGACCCAAGAACAGTATTCATGGCCACCTGCTGCCAAGGCTACCTTTTCAGAAGCACAGACTGTGTTTCCTTTTCTCACTTTGATAACTTTGCTTTTGTTGGTTTCTTTCATAGTTTTGATTCCTGGGACCCTGAACCTTGGCTCATCTCACAAGTCCTTGATTCTCAATTAGTTTAAATGCCCCCCCATACAAGGCCTTGTGCATGTACATACATGCACAGCATGGACTACAAGTTTCTGCTTCATGGTTCAACCCCTCCCCTTTATTCAAGTACATGTATTGTACATACGTATACCAGCACTGAGTACATGTAATTCTAAGTCTTAACAAGTAGCAAGTGGCTACAAACAGTATACACACAATGTACATGTATGTTACAAGGCTATGATGACTACAAGTGTTAAGTGTACATGTGTAAATGTTACGGGGACAACTTTTGCCCCCACAACTTGGTTTTGACTTTCCTGATAAAAGAAATTGTCCGTTGAAGGTCCGAGCAGAGGACAGGACACTGCTGCAAGAACACTGGTAGTAAGGTTTTTGTCCGATTATCATGTACCACTACATGTAAGCACTTTCACACACTGCAATATTCATCCGCAGCAAAGTGTCTTCCATCGTTTCAGTCAGTATTCTCCAACAACCACGGTCACGGAAGTACTGAATATGCGCGCCAGTAGACTTCAACTGCACCTTGTCCCCTTCCCATAAAAAATAGTAGTGAAGCACACACGAAACCTGGGGCACACTGACAGGGCAAACATACAATGTACTTTACGTGAGTACATGATACGCAGTGAAACAAATGCTCTAACTTATGGTAAGACATGAATTAAGTGCACTCTCAACTCACTAAAATGGGGTGTGTTTGCGCTCGTTTCTGAGTAGTGAATGAGACACGCTCCAATGTTGGTAGTGATACCCCCTTCCCCCCTTAAGTACATACAGTATTAACTCTGGTGGAAGCAGTGAAATAGTAAGCCTATATTATCAGCTGTTGGAGCACTGTAATTTTTTTCGAGAGTTGAATATTATTTTTTCAAAGTTTGTACATAAATTTCCAAAGTGATGTCCATTAAGCTTGAAGACATACATGTACATGTATGCAGAGTTTTACTTCTCCTGTAGGCCAATGCACACTCAGCTGAGTGCCAAAGTGAAGTGAATTTGACGTTACAAAATGTCCACAGCAAAATTTGCAATTGTTGAAATGTGTTGAACTTTTGCAAATTTGTGGTGTGAATATTTGTTGTAACGTTACAAAATTGAGCTCTAGTTGACTTTTGTGATACGTGTATTTCTTGTCAGCAAGATGTGTGCCACCAACACGGTGATGTACTGAGTTTGGCTTCTGTGCAGCAAGACCAAGAAAATTGTTTTTCCTATAAAAATTCAAGACTACAAGGGGGGAAATAATATAAAGAATGCAAGAAAGAAGCATAACAGAACAATTACGGACTGCTTCTGATGTAGGACATGACATTTTAACACCCTCGGGGATGAACAGTACCCAAGCTTTGCCTCAGATGCAATGACTGCCTCGGGTATTGAAACATCATGTCTAACATCACAGCAGTCAAACTGTTAAGTACTGAATGCACACTTGCATTTCATGAGGGTAATTTGAGTATACATGTACAGTGTATATGCGTAGATGAAACACACATGTTCTGTACTATTTCATGCAGAAACAAAGGAACTATCCCACAAGGCCATACACTGTGCAAGTATCTGTCGGCACATGTACATTGATTTTTTTTCCCATCAAAAACTTGAAGAGTACAGTGGGTGTTGGTTCAACAAAGTGAAGCACAAGGCTTGCCCAGTGCAGGCATTGCACAAGTACAGGGAAATGTAAGCGACAAGTTTGGATAACAAAACAGAAACTGCTCTTAAGTTGGCTAGCCAACAAGGGGAAAGGTTAAGCCAAGTTGTGAAGAATGACTTGACCTCAGTCATGGCACATTAACTTTGGAGAACTTTCTGAAGTTGTTCAAAACTCAGGAAGTTGAGTGTACCTGCTGATGTCCAAACTTCTCATGTAAAAGCAAATCTACGAAGGGAATAATCCAATAGTTTGTACAGTCAACTTTTATTGCAAAAAATTGCTTGGACTGCCAAATCATCATATATATGTATTGGTACATGTATTTATAACCAGAACCAAGTTGCTGTAAACAGTGTTATTTTTATCGAGAGGCTGTATACATGTACGAACAGTGAGTGTGGTGGGGAGTTGAACAATATATTGATGAAAAGACTGAGTGACGTGGGTTGAGAGATCAAAACCAGGAAGTATTTAAAAGAAAACTCAAGAATTGTGCAATGTATCGGTGCTACTCCAGCACACATTATGTTTTTGCATCAGTTTGCAATGTCTGATTTGTTTCCACCACAATGTTTCAGTGGAATATCAGATGCTACTTCCAAAGGGAAATTCTGCTAAGTCTGTCTTCCATCTGCAGAATTATGCAAATTCAACATCCTCATCAAGTTCACTTTCACATAATTTGTTTCACTGCTGACAACTTCTACTGATTAATTAATCACAATTTACAAAAACAAACAAATTTCATAAGAAAAAAGAGGAATTAAAGATAATTGTGCAACATTACTATCTACCAGTAAGTGTCTTTTTTTCCCCCCAAAAGCTCAGAATTCAGAATGGCCCATGACAATGCGGTCGCTAACAGCATAACCAAATGTCCACTTGCACGTGAAACTGCCCTGTAAGGAACTGAGCAGAGCAATACAGTACATCCCCTACCTTGCCTGAATTGTTGTCTTCAACTGAATCTCGTGTAATTACCACAGGCGATAGAATCATTTTATAAGTTTTATGCATCTCACAAGTCCCATCTGATCACGGTTCATAATCAGTCAAGACTGCTACAATTTCTTTTGAAGGAAATAGAGAGCCCATGTGCAGGGGCGTCAAGGAACTGTGGAAACAACGGGCCAAGAAAGTACGAGTGAGAAATTTGACGAGGAGATGGAAGGGTGGTTGGAACAGCTAACGGGAAAATGATCAAGGGATGAGCTCAGCGGAAAATGAAGTTAACCATTGCTTGGGCGACACTTAGCTCTACAGAACACCCACTGAGTTCATGGATTGGAGCTAGCTGAAAACTTGCCTTCCATCTGAACATACTTCAGGGAGGCTCTGGTCATCTGCTCTGATCTCCAAACATTTCAATTCTGAGTTGGAGGCTGTGCTCAAAATAACAGCAGGCCAGCCTTTCCCCTACCCAGATTTGAATATCACAT